TGCACAAATTCATAATATATGTACTTACCACTATAGTGCCGTAGGATATAAAGAATATGAAAGTGCGTTCGGACATGACCGACCTATATACATACATACATGTTTAAGCATTTTTTTGATGGACCTCTAAAGATTTGGGGCCTCAGTGTCACAACCGTTCGGAATTTCTATTTACTCTCTAAGGCAAAGTTGTAGCTCTTGTCACAATGAACAAAAATTTTAAACATATAAAATCAAAAAACTTCATCTTAATCTTCATATTTTCATTTCAAGTGGAAAGTTTTACATTTTGAAATTGCACTGCTTTTATTAACGACACCTGTACGTATACGTGTTAATGATTTGTTAATATTGCAAATATTAAGTATACTCCAAGCACACAATTTTTGTAAAATAAAAGTAAATATATGTAAGTAGCAATGTAAATATTAGGGAAATTTTGCGTCAAGTGGCCCAACTCAAAAAATCGATTTGGATGAAATTTGTTAGTTTTTTATTTTTTTTTTAAATTTTTTTCCAAAAAACTTCAAACTCCAATAGACGTTTGTCTGTGAAATAGACGACCATAACCTAATTTAAAATAATTTTAGTAGTTTACAAGTACATACATATATGGTTCTATTCAGTAAGTAAATATTATGATCCAATTGCTAAACTTAAAGAGGAGTGTGGGTATAAAAACCCCTCTTAGAGCATTGCCTTAAGAATTTTGTTTAAATACGTTTTAAAAATCAATCTAACACTAAATCAATGTCACTAATTAAATCAATTGTCTGTGGATTTTACTTTAATCTTTAAGCATTCAAATGTAAAATATTCACTTTAAATTAAAATTAGAATTAACATTAAAATTCCAAAGAAAAGAAACGAATATAAAAAAAACACATTAAAGTAAAAGCAATATCAAATAACGTAAATTTAAAATATAAATAAATTCCAAGTATATAGTTTAATTAGTTTCCAATAAATGTTTTTATATAACAAACAATTTTGAGTAATAATTACATTAATAAATAACTTTTAATAATAAATAAATATTAAATTTATGCAAATTACTTTCAACATTTTAAATTGCAAATAAATATAATAATTTGTTAGCCCATAAAGTTATGTGTGAGAGTTTTTTTAATTAATTTTAAACGTATGCTGATTTGTTTAATAAATGATATTATGAAATAAATTGTTTTAAATGACAAATAATATCCAGTTAGTATTAATCGGATTAAATTAAAATAATTTAAATTTTAATGATTAATTAATATTTAAATCTTTTGCAAACTTTAAAATGAGAAAATTTGTTAGTTAACTAAGTAGGCTAGATAAAAAAGAATGATTTGTTAATAATTTAAATTTAATTATAATGAATTTTGTTTAAATGAATTTTAATTATTACTGCCTACAAAGTAATAATGATGAATAGATGATGAACCAACAAATATTATTAAATCATTAATAAAGCTGAATACTTGTTTAGGCTTTATGGCAATTAAGTTACGAAATAAGTATGAAGTTCTAGTATGTAGGTTATATACGACCTGTTTTGTGCTTTAGTGGAGATGTTTGGAAGCTTTTATAGGAGCTAATATGCAGAAAAGTAATAATTGGTCCATTCAACGTATATTTGTGAATAGTTATTATATTAATTATATAAGTACTTATTTATAAGCAATTTACCAATTTACCCAAAGTAATTCACTACATGGTCAATTACAATTACTTGTAATGTGTAATTGAGAAATAACCAATTACAATTACTTGTAATCATAATTGAAGTTTTGCCAATTACAAATTAATTACAAATAATTGCAATGGGCTAAACTTCAATTGCAAGTACAAGTAACTGTAATTGGTAAATCTTCAATTACAATTACTTCAAACGTAATTGATGCCTAGTAAATACTTGCCTCCATGTTAAAACAATGAGTAAGTAATGAATTTAGTTAGTTAGTTAGTTAGTTAGTTAGTTAGTTAGTTAGTTATTAGTTAGTTAGTTAGTTAGTTAGTTAGTTAGTTAGTTAGTTAGTTAGTTAGTTAGTTAGTTAGTTAGTTAGTTAGTTAGTTAGTTAGTTAGTTAGTTAGTTAGTTAGTTAGTTAGTTAGTTAGTTAGTTAGTTAGTTAGTTAGTTAGTTAGTTAGTTAGTTAGTTAGTTAGTTAGTTAGTTAGTTAGTTAGTTAGTTAGTTAGTTAGTTAGTTAGTTAGTTAGTTAGTTAGTTAGTTAGTTAGTTAGTTAGTTAGTTAGTTAGTTAGTTAGTTAGTTAGTTAGTTAGTTAGTTAGTTAGTTAGTTAGTTAGTTAGTTAGTTAGTTAGTTAGTTAGTTAGTTAGTTAGTTAGTTAGTTAGTTAGTTAGTTAGTTAGTTAGTTAGTTAGTTAGTTAGTTAGTTAGTTAGTTAGTTAGTTAGTTAGTTAGTTAGTTAGTTAGTTAGTTAGTTAGTTAGTTAGTTAGTTAGTTAGTTAGTTAGTTAGTTAGTTAGTTAGTTAGTTAGTTAGTTAGTTAGTTAGTTAGTTAGTTAGTTAGTTAGTTAGTTAGTTAGTTAGTTAGTTAGTTAGTTAGTTAGTTAGTTAGTTAGTTAGTTAGTTAGTTAGTTAGTTAGTTAGTTAGTTAGTTAGTTAGTTAGTTAGTTAGTTAGTTAGTTAGTTAGTTAGTTAGTTAGTAGTTAGTTAGTTAGTTAGTAGTTAGTTAGTTAGTTAGTTAGTTAGTTAGTTAGTTAGTTAGTTAGTTAGTAGTTAGTTAGTTAGTTAGTTAGTTAGTTAGTTAGTTAGTTAGTTAGTTAGTTAGTTAGTTAGTTAGTTAGTTAGTTAGTTAGTTAGTTAGTTAGTTAGTTAGTTAGTTAGTTAGTTAGTAGTTAGTTAGTTAGTTAGTTAGTTAGTTAGTTAGTTAGTTAGTTAGTTAGTTAGTTAGTTAGTTAGTTAGTAGTTAGTTAGTTAGTTAGTTAGTAGTAGTTAGTTAGTTAGTTAGTTAGTTAGTTAGTTAGTTAGTTAGTTACGTCTTCTTCCGGACTGTTGTGCGCTCATTTACCATTGTCCCAGATGGGTATCGAACTCACCAATGGAGGCCACATAAGTTATGAAAAATGGTTTCATTAGCTTTTTAACTCATTACTTTTCAACGTATGTTTTTGTTGGGGTTATTTACTTCGATGCAGCCTAACATTTCACATTAGCCTTAAATACATAAATGTTATTTATGACTAAAATACTTTAAGTACTGACTTAAGGTTTGTAGAAAATTAAGCTCCTATTGACATATTTCTTTTTCCCGAAAAATGTCAATATATTTAGGATTAATCGTTATCCTTAAGTATACAAGTCATAATTCAAGGCTAAAAGGTTTCCAATATATTTAGCAAATTTTCTAAAAACATCTTGTATTACAAACATAAAAATAAATCCAGTAGCCAAAATTTAACAGTTTGTAATATATTTCTTGCAATGTGTAGAATAAATTTGCTGAATAAAAGGTTAAATGTTTGAGGAAAAGTACAAAATTTGTGAATTTGTATAGCTTAAGAATTTAAAATACAGTTTATTTTGCCGGACAAAATATGTGTTTATAATTCTAACTAATGTTACGATTAAGGCACAAAATTGTTAAGTGTCTACGAGTAAAGTTAAGCTTTACATATGTTAGTACTTTGGTGAACTCATTGCTATTACTGTTGCAAAACAACAGTTACCATAATAACATAAATTTAATATTGCCAAACATAATTTGTTTCACAACATTTGCATCACAACATTGTACCTTTGCGAATGTTGCTTTAGTGACAACTTCACATATTTTAAAGATTTCACCTTTGCATTTAAACTCGGTTAAAGATAAGAGATGCATTATACTAAAATTTACTGCAACACATTAGAAATACTATAAAATGTTATGTCTTTGAAACTAAACCCCAATAAACAATAAACAAGTTCTTTGTTTTTAATACATTTCTATTAGAGTTAAAATATGTATAATCGATTTTTATACTCTACAGTACTAAAGGACTATTATGACTTTGTGTTGCTATTTGCATTCTACTCAATAATATCGCCTTACTTCGATTTAGCGATGTCCTTCAAGAACAATATTGAAGAAAAATAGGATTGGTCCACATTGGCACATATAAACCAACTTCTTTAAAGGGGCCTTTGTATGGAGACTAGGGTTAAAAGAGGCCCGATCATTACAAAATTCATCAGGATCTTTAAGGCTAGTATAAAACATAGTTGTGCTGCTTTTTGTCTAGATAAGAGTATATTAAACATAATTATGAGCTCAAAAGCCCTACACGTGAAGTTCAGTTGTATGGGGGCTAGGTGAAATAATGGACCGATGTTAAACATTTTCACTAGGCTTTGTTTCTGATACAATAGAAGATCATATACCAAATTTAATTTAATTATCTTCAAAATTGCGATCAGTACTTCGATTACAAGGCTATCATTTACGGATGGACGGACGGATGGACAGACGGACGGAAATAGCTAAATCGACACAACAAACTGTAACTAAACTAATGAAAAGGATGTCATTTTGTCTATGGCTATGTACTTAATGAAGTATTAAAAACTTTTTGTCACTTAAAACTTTTTTCAATACAAATTTATAATAAACTCAATTGAAACTAGCCCCCAACAGAAAATTCCATATTTCTTCATAAACCAACAGTTCACAAAAGCACGTAAAGTTAATATTCATGATTTAAAAACCGTAAAATAATAAATAACTATACATAGTACATACATATTGTTGATAAACAAATAGTCCATCAAATGATTCATTTTATAATATTTATTTAATTCTTTGCGATTCAAAACGATAAATACCTATGAATGGAAAAATATTTTTTTTTGACAAACAAAACTCAATTCCCCATAAAAACCGCAATTTTATTCATATGAATTTTTCCCCCTTTTTCACTTTACTCTACATTTTATTTTTATTATTTACACATTTATTAACATGTATGAAGGATATTTTTTTGACAAATATGGCAAACAAGTAACATGCAACATACCTGTAACAATTGCGAATCCATGTCATCCAATGGATAACCAGCGTAACTTCCTCTCTGTGCGGTATAAACGAGTTTTGTAGCACACAATAGTGTTAAGACTGGACACAGCCACGTTGCGGCTTTCATGGTGCTAAAAAAAGGATAAAATAAGAGTAAAAGAGAAAATATATAAAAATTAACGTAAATAAACATTGAATGTATTTTTAATATTTATACAAATATAACAAAGACTGCATATAATAATGTGTATGTATGTGTATTTGTGTTTTTCTTTTCTGTGTAAACAAAAAATATTTATTTCAGTTCTATTTAAATAAACTCTACTGTTCATGTTTCCAACTGCTACTGTTTGCCACATGAATGACAGTCAACTCAAAAAAGAGTTCGTTCGTGTATGTTTTATTTTAATTGTTGCATTTACTTTGCTGTCACAACATGTTTGCGTAGCCACAAGTGATGCGGAAATGATATAAATGCTATTGCTGTGTTCATGCAAAAAAAAAATGTCAAATATGCAATGATGATGAATTTTGAAGGAAATACTATTTTTGCATACTTTAACTATTGATATTATATGATAAAATATGTATACATGTGTGTACTTTCATCGCGTATATGATTTTTGAATTTGAAAATATATTTAATACATTTTTAAATCGATATTTTATTAGATATTTTCTTCAATAAAAGAGGTGCTACTCCCCACTATAGCTAGTTAAAATAAACAAATCGATATAAAAGTTACTCTTTCCAAAATTTCCTGCCAAACAAATCTATCTGTAACAAATGATAGATTTTTATGTAAATTATTTAAATTCTACTTACAAACAACTCACACACATTCTAAATCTTCTACTTTAAAATCTAAGCACAAAAGATGCTTGTTTATCATAAAAAAATATTATTAAAAATCTATTACACAAAAAAACAATTGTATATATTTTAATAAATTCTTTTTTATCTATTACCGCTCAACAGCTGCGACCTTCATTCATAAACATATACATAAGTATGTTCACGTTCGAATACCTATTCCCCGTCTATAAAACGGTTTATTTGTATTTTTTTCTTCTTTTAGTCCAATTTCTTTTTTCTGTCCAATATTTCTATATAATGCAGTGATAATGTTGTAAGTATTCATGGCAACCAACAAGCATTACAAGTATTTACCAACGTATTAACAGGATTTTTCAAGTGTCAACCACAAGACTACTAATACAGTTGAACATTGTACAATAAAATTGTACATAAAATCACAAAAGAACATGTGTGTGTTATGCCATGTATGTTAGTATGTATGTAGTATGTTCGTACACTTATTTTATGCTTTAGTTAATGTTTACATGGAGTAACATAGAAATCTTAGGAGGATTATTTTCAATATAATACTAGCACTTTTATCATACTTATAATGTGTGTATTTCCACGTTTTATGATTATTATCATTATTATTAAACAAATATTTATAGACAGTTTTGATGGATATACGTACGTATATTTTGTACATTTGCAGATGAACGTTTATCTAAGTCTAAAGATTTAAGATTAAGGAAATTTTTAAAAAGTTCAACACGTATACTCTCTGGACTATCGAACAGTCTAAGGTTTGGAAGACACTGCAGTCTATGGCGTGAAGTAAACAACATTCTTATTGTACCCACCCTATAGCCTATTCTGTAGTCTGGATTAGACTAACAGTATCCTATAGCCTGGACTATAATGTAGTCTATAGTTTTGATGTTAGTGTAGTCTATACTATATACTATTTTATAGTCTATAGTCTGGACTATAGTGAAGTTTATAGGCTGAAGAAGCCTATAGTCTAGGACTATAGAATAGTCTATAGTCTGGACTATAGAATAGTCTATAGTCTGGACTATAGAATAGTCTATAGTCTGGACTATAGAATAGTCTATAGTCTGGACTATAGAATAGTCTATAGTCTGGACTATAGAATAGTCTATAGTCTGGACTATAGAATAGTCTATAGTCTGGACTATAGAATAGTCTATAGTCTGGAATATAGAATGGTCTATAGTCTGGACTATAGAATAGTCTATAGTCTGGACTATAGAATGTACTATGGAGAAATCTCTAATCTGGAATATAGAGTAGACTATAGTCTAGTACTATAGAATAGTCTGTAACCTAGACTATAGAATGGTCTATAGTCTGGACTATAGAATAGTCTATAGTCTGGACTATAGAATAGTCTATAGTCTGGACTATAGAATAGTCTATAGTCTGGACTATATAATAGTCTATAGTCTGGACTATAGAATATTCTATAGTCTCGACTATAGAATAGTCTATAGTCTGGACTATAGAATAGTCTATAGTCTGAACTATAGAATAGTCTATAGTCTGGACTATAGAATAGTTTATAGTCTAGACTATAGAATATTCTATAGTCTGGACTATAGAATAGTCTATAGTCTGGACTATAGAATAGTCTATAGTCTGGACTATAGAATAGGCCATAGTCTGGACTATAGAATAGTCTATAGTCTGGACTATAGAATAGTCTATAGTTTGGACTATAGAATAGTCTATAGTTTGGACTATAGAATAGTCTATAGTTTGGACTATAGAATAGTCTAATATCTGTATGATAAAGTAGTCTATAGTCTGGAGTATAGAGTAGTATATAGTCTGGACCATAGAGTAGTCTATAGTCCGAACTATATAGTTGTTTTTAGTCTTGACATTTGAGTAGTCTATAGTCTGAGCTATAGAGTAGTAAATAATTTGGACTATAGTATAGTATATAGCCTGGACTATAAAATAGTCTCTAGTCTGGACTACAGAGTAGCATATAGTCTGAACTATAGAGTAGTCTAGAGTGTAGACTATGCCGGACTATAGATCATTCTGAGCTACAATAGACCAGTCTTAAGATACTTCTGATAGTTTCCTATAAGTTTACATTATAAAACAAACAATATTCCTTATTTTAGAATTTGTTGATATTCTAACCACAACATAGTTCTCATGTGGTATCCTAGATCAATTTCAAATCTATATTTGTAACTTAACATAATTAGTTTTTAATAAAGTTTAAATATGAATATTAATTATCCTATTTTGTGGTTATACAGGAAATTTCTTTTAATTACATTTTACAACCACAAAACAATTTCTATTCCTTGACCTACTCAAACTAACACTCACAAAATCTTTATACCTTTAATAGAAAAAGTAAACTTAAATTTGATTAAATGAAAATTTGTTAAAATAATATTGACTTTAGGAAGATACACACACAAACTAACATAATAAATACAATACAAACACATATACCTTCATTTATACTTTGATTTTACGAATTGTAAGTAGCTTCCTTTTTAACTAACTTTTTTACGATATCCCTCCCTATAACCACAAGCTGTTAGGATTGTGGTTTCTTACTGGTTTTGTTGCTATTAAATATTTATAAAATATTCTATCACATTTTGTTTTGTTGTCGAAACAAGCCAACTACATATACTCGCTCCATTTATATGTTTATGTTGTTCTAGTTGTTAAAATAGATAAAAGTACCAAAGTAAATGTACACATTTAGAATAAGAAAATAAACCGAAAAGAGAGCTGAATAATAAATTTATAACACTTAAATTGAATAAAATATCAATAACTGAAAATTAAATTATGTTACATCAAATTGTAGCTAACGAATCTAGGTGTTTAAAAGCTAAAATTATATTTTATTTTATTTGTCTATTTAAGGTGAGTAGCTGCTATTGACTTTGTTTTAGAATCAAAACCTTTTATGATATTATTAATGTTAACGCATCAAGAGACTTAAAAGGCAATAATTTGATAAAAAAAAGAGGACAAGGAAAAAATATTAATGTTATATTAATAGGGACATGTTCAACTAAGATAACTATTGGTGTTTTTGAGTAAATCGTAAATACTAAAACATGTCTAGATCTAATAAGGACCCAAAATATATATACTTTTGCAGGTCTATAACCAATATTTCGATGTGTTACCAAAGGATTAACAACACTTTTTGATAGTGGGTATAAAAAGGTGTTAATTATTCCTAAACGGTCCACTAGGCTCATTACAGTCTGGAAAACATATTAAAATTAACATGTCATTCTATAAAATGTTAGTAGATAAAAACAAAACTTGCCAACTATAACTATTGGCTGATACCTTTATGTCTATGATGTATTCTAGGGGGCCTTATTCATAAACATTTATCAACGTTTTATAGAACAAATTTTGTATGGAAACAGTAATAAAAGCTTAAGTCTAAGTAGGTATTTTATGACAAAGCATTATTTTCTTTTATAATTGTATTATTATATTACTATTATTCTTTGTCTATATATAATTATTTTCACAGAGATTAAGACTAAATTGCCATGATACTAAGACTTTCAGTAAACGTGCTACTAACAAACACATAATTATGTTAACACCAAACCAACAAAATTTACGAATGAATAAAAAGTAGTCATTAAGTAAAGATATATATTAAAACATCATTATTTATTTCGAATCACCATTATAAGGGGAAGGGATTTTTTATTGTAAAATTATATCAAAACTCTAAACAAACGAAACATTTTATTAATTTAAAAACTAAAATTTCCAGCAAATTTTACATTTAAAATACACCTTAAATGTCATAAAATTTAATTTTAAACAAATAATTTATATACTCCAGACTTAATATTTATGTATTTTTTTAAAAAACATATGTCAAACATCTTAAAATTACAATAAACATTTAATAAGAACCAATAAATTTATAAAGTTTTTTTATTGCTTTTTCATGACCATAACATTTTATAACTAAATATTTCAGTTCTTAAACAATTTATTAAAGTTAAAGTAGTCATTCATCATATTGAAAAAAAAGAGCACGTGTTTTATTTTAAGTTTAGTAAAACTGTCGAAATATTTCGTATGAATATATTGCATTTAACGTACTTTATAGTCATCATGTCGCATGAGTATTATTAAATTAAAAATATTACTTATACGTAACGTATGGCGTGTATGTTTGAAAAATTTAAATAAACGTGAGAATTTTAAAATGAGGAAGTTTTGTGTTTAAAAGTGTTTCGTTTAGCAAAAAGATAATGATTATTTTTTGGCACTGCTTTATCGAAA